AATTAAATAAATATGAATCTCCTTTAATTCCAGCCCCATTAATATATAGTTACCAGCTTCTCCTTTTGGCATGTGTTGTTGTGAAGTCATTCCAGGCTGATGAACAGTTTTCCACAAAGTTCAGCGTTCCCTAAGCCAAATCCCTGTGAAATTGTAGGAATTTCCCATAGTTTGCGATGAGTCCTCATAGGTACAATGGCTGATTTTGAAAAGCATTTCAACTTTTACTTTGGATCAGGTTTTTTCCATAGGTTTTTCTCCTATATGATTTTTTTCCCATTTAATAGTATGATCATCCATTCTTTCTTTTCTTCTTTGTTTTTCTCTTTCGTACTGTTTGAAGTAATTTCACATGAAGCCGACTCCATTCACAGGAATTACATGAGTAGTGTATTATCAGAAGTAGGCTTGGGTATCGAGAATCGAGTATCGATTGGAAACGGGACTAACTTTTCGTTTTTCCCGGAATCGTTCAAAAGTTAAAATTTCGATTCCTAGTTTCGATATTCACAGTCCGCTGAGCGGAAGAAGAAACCGCTGAACAACACCAACGAAGAAGCGTCTACCGGAAGTGTTGGCATAAACGCGCGAGTCAAACGTGAGTAGCTTACGTCGGCGGTCCAAAGTGTGGCTTCACTTTTCTAAAAAATAACGAAATCTCGGCAAAATGCAAAATTTGTGACAAAAGGAGTATTTGTGACAGAAGGACTATTTCCTTCAGAAAGGATTATTTCCTTCAGAAAGACCGTTGGTAAGCAAGGTTAGCTAAACTTTTTTGACCCTGCCTCTTAAAAGAATCGGAATCGAGAATCGTTAGGAACCGGAATCGAAACAAGGACTCGGAATCGGAATCAGAATCGTTCAAATTCAAACGATACCCAACCCTAATCAGAAGTTCATCAACACAGAAAAGTAGTCCCACCCCAAAAGAACAATTTAGACACTTTACAACTCAAAAAACAGTTTTAACTGACAATTTAATCAAAACTATGAGCTCTAGAAACATTATTTCCTGTGGTAATTGACAGCTTAAACCCTAAACCACTGCATAAGAAAGAGATAAATGTTATTTATATTTTTGCTTCAGCACTTAAAAATTAAAACATATTTTTTTACATTTTTTTGTGATATATGTCTTAAATTTCATTCATAATGGTCTTAAAAAGTCCTAAATTTGACTTTGATAAACCTGCAGAAACCCTGTTTGTAGTTCTGCCAGTTTTGTGCTTCTGCTTGTTTGTATTTGTGTATGTTGTAGGTCGACTTTAAATGATTGTATGGTTACCATAAACATTTGCTGTTTCCAAAATAGTAAAAAACCCAATCCAATTCAAATATTTATGTTTAATTTGTTTTTATTACACATTATAAAATTGTAGAAAATATTTAGGGGTAATGGGGTGAGTTAGGTTGGTTTAGGGGTGTGTGAGTGTAACTGTTGTAAAGAGCTATGCGTGTAAACCTCACTCCCCTGATCTCAAGAGATCTCTCATGCAGGCGACCCGGGTTCGAATCTCCCTCGGAGTGGTTCGAGCCGGACCGGTTACACTTGCAGGATGTTTTAATAGTTTTTACAAAGACCTCTTATATGTCAAAATAACAAGGTAAATTAGATTTCTAATGTCATGATCCCTTTAAATAAATATCTAAATAATCTAATAAAAAAAATCTCTATTCTTTGCATACTTTGCATGTGTTTCAGCGAGTCCGTCTGATGACGGTTCAGAGGTGGAATCTGAGCCCGATCTGCCGCTGAAAAGGAAACAGCGGCGCAGTCGAACAACCTTCACGGCCGAACAGCTGGAGGAGCTGGAGAGAGCTTTCGAACGCACACATTACCCTGACATCTACACCAGAGAAGAGCTCGCTCAGAGAGCTAAACTCTCAGAGGCACGAGTACAGGTACAAATACACCCATACTCCTCAAAATGAATAGACAGAATTAAAAAAAAGACATATGAACTGTTTCCTGTTTGTCTTTTCTCAGGTGTGGTTTAGTAACAGACGAGCTCGTTGGAGGAAGCAAGCGGGAGCCAATCAGATCATGGCGTTCAATCACCTGATCCCTGGTGGGTTTTCACATCCGGCTATGTCCAGTCTCTCCCCGTATCAGCTGTCAGAGAGCCCGTACCCACCCGCTGGCCTTTCTCAAGGTAAACATTTTAAATTAAATTCCAGTTTTAGCTAAAATACATTGTGATGTAGTCTGCAACCATTATATGGATATATCTGTTCTCAGATTCGAGCACTGTACACAGACCTCAGCCGCTCCCGCATCATCACAGTCCAGGAGGGGCGGGGCCGGAGGGCGGGGCTTCCTACTGTCTCCCGAGTCGCCATGGTTACGCAGGATATTCAGATACCTTTGGACCTCATAACAGTCACGCTAACTCTTCCATCAATAATGGACTGTCTTCTCAGGTAATAAAGTCACAGAATTACTTTCTAGTTATTTAAAAATAATTTGTCCATACCAGTCAGTATTATTAAGTAGATTCCCAGTCTTTTTTGGAGGGTCATAACTGGTTTAACCAATGACTTGAACATTAAAGTGGATCGAAAAAGTAAAGCATCATTGGCCTGATGTTGATTAGCACAGAAAATAAAGTCCCTTATTTTGCATACAGTAACACACTCATCATGGACGTCCAGCAGCCAAGTAAAATATAAAAAAATTCTGACGTGGCTATATATATACTGAAAATAATAAGAATATTATTTAATATATATATATATATATATATATAAAGTGAAAGCCGTAATATTAAATAATATTCTTATTATTTAAATTAATATACTAATACATTATGTAGTATTCATATAATTTGATGTATGCTATAATATTTATTATTTAATATTATACTAATATAATAAATAATAATTAATAATCTAGAATATATTGCTATTAATATAAATTAATATTATTGTAATATAATATTAATTTGTAATATAATATTTGCATTTTTTATAACTTTTATAATATTTAATTTAATACTACTTATAAATATTTAATATATACAACTTTTTCGGCGATTTGCTCAGTTCATGATTTAATTACTGTTACATATCCATATAAATGCTTATGTGCAAGTAATTAAATATACTGTACCGTATAAATAAACCAATGGAGATTGATGTAATTTACTTACTGACGTTTTTAATGAAATATTTGTTTTAAAATTTAATAGTCCTCCATAGGAGTGCATTAAAAATCTGTAAAGTATTTTCACATGAAGCCGACTCCATTCACAGGAATTACATCAGTAGCGTATTATCAGAAGTTCATCAACACAAAAAAGTAGTCCCACCTCAGAAGAACAATTTAGACACTTTACAACTCAAAAAACAGTTTTAACTGACAATTTAATCAAAACTATGAGCTCTAGAAACATTATTTCCTGTGGTAATTGACAGCTTAAACCCTAAACCACTGCATAAAAAAGAGATAAATGTTATTTATATTTTTGCTTAAGCCCTTAAACCTCAAAAACATCCCAGTGAAGGTGTAGTCGATCCCCCACCTGTTGACCCACAGTGGAGTGTCAGTTTAATGGGCTCTTCTGGCTTCTGTACAAACTATTACACACTTCAAGGCGACGCATTACGCAGATAAATTCCTCCATCGCAGGTCATCCACGGGCCATTATTCATTCGGTTATCTTTAGCTTTATCACTGGACCGTGCAAAGCAAAGCACAGAAGACAAAGCAACACTCACACACAGTGTGATAGATGGGACGACTGACCCACACATGTTTCTCATCTGTACAAGGTTCCTCCACGGGGGGTGTTTGTCAAGAACACTGACAGACCGCTGTGAATTACAGGTTTGACGGGTGTGAATGTATTACAGTCTCACACTCTCGCTGTCATCATCTAGTTGTGATACTATTACTAATACGTGAAAAATGTTGCTAAGATTCAAAGCATCCCAGTGTAATATTGAGATGGATGTCTCAATCTGTGCAGGTCTCGCGGATATAGAATTATTTAAATAGAAATTAATACTTTTATTCAGTAAAGTTGAATTAAATGGATCTAAAGTAACAGTAAAGACATTTAAAATGTTACAAAAGATTTCTATTTTAAATAAGTTCTTTTGAACTTAGTATTCATCAAAGAATCCTGTCATGGTTTCCACAAAAATATGAAGCAGCACAACTGTTTTCAACATTGATAATAATCAGAAATGTCTAGCTGCAAATGATCATGTTATAGACTGGCGTAACTTTTCGAACTGGCGAATTTTCGCCAAAGGAAAATTCAGCTTTGATTACAGGAATCAATTAAATTTTAAAATATTTTTTTTCATTAGCATACCGGTATTCGCATATTTCCTGTATTTGCATATTTCCTGTATTCGCATATTTCCAATATTAGCATATTTCCTGTATTTGTATATTTCCAATATTAGCATATTTCCCGTATTCGCATATTTCCTGTATTAGCATATTTCCCATATTAGCATATTTCCTGTATTAGCATATTCCCATATTAGCAAATTTCCTGTATTAGCATATTTCCCATATTCGCATATTTCCTGTATTAGCATATTTCCTGTATTAGCATATTTCCTGTATTTGCATATTTCCTGTATTCACATATTTCCAGTATTAGCATATTTCACATATTTCCTGTATTAGCATGTTTCCTGTATTCGCATATTTCCCGTATTAGTATATTTCCTGTTTTAGCATATTTCCCATAGTTGCATATTTCTGTATTAGCATATTTCCCATATTCGCATATTTCCTGTATTAGCATATTCCCATATTAACATATTTCCTGTATTAGCATATTTCCCATATTCGCATATTTCCTGTATTAGCATATTTCCCATATTAGCATATTTCCCATATTAGCACATTTCCTGTATTCGCATATTTCCCATATTAGCATATTTCCTGTATTCACATATTTCCAGTATTAGCATATTTCCTGTATTCACATATTTCCAGTATTAGCATATTTCCCATATTCACATATTTCCTGTATTAGCATATTTCCTGTATTCACATATTTCCCGTATTAGCATATTTCCTGTTTTAGCATATTTCCTGTATTCACATATTTCCCATATTCGCATATGCATTAGCATGTTTCCTGTATTAGCATATTTCCTGTATTCACATATTTCCCATATTCGCATATGCATTAGCATGTTTCCTGTATTCGCATATTTCCTGTATTGGCATATTTCCTGTATTCTCATATTTCCTGTATTCGCATATTTCCTGTATTCGCATATTTCCTGTATTCTCATATTTCCTGTATTCGCATATTTCCCATATTCGCATATTTCCCATATTCCCTGTATTAGCATATTTTCTGTATTAGCATATTCCCTGTATTAGCATATTTCCTGTATTCGCATATTTCCTGTTTTAGCATGTTTCCTGTATTAGCATGTTTCCTGTATTCGCATATTTCCTGTTTTAGCATGTTTCCTGTATTAGCATGTTTCCTGTATTCGCATATTTCCTGTATTCGCATATTTCCCATATTCCCTGTATTAGCATATTTCTTGTATTCGCATATTTCATCTATCAGCATATTTCCCGTATTGGCACATTTCCCATCATAACACATTTCCTGTATTACCATATTTCCCGTATTAGCATATTTCCGCCCTCATCGACTTGTATACTGTCCACCAAGGCATCACTGTATGTGTCCTGTGTGACACCCCCATGGAAGAGAGGGGTGGGACGAGCAGTTGCTCATTATCATTTAAAGAGACATGCACCGAAACGGGTCGCTGTGAACAGAGCTGTTTTTGAGGTAAAAAGGGTGTTGTTTTACACAACCATTGAGGAATTTTAATCAAAGTATTTTACAGACTTTACATGAACACCCTAAAGAATCATACCAACTTGTGGAAAATGGGCATTCGATGACCCTTTTTAAATATTACAAACCCATGTAATGTGTATTTTCATAAATGAAACTTAAAAAATGAAAGCTACTTAATTAAATTTGATTGGAAATATGCTCTAAAAAAGTCTCATAGATATAGCCATAGAAACATCATTAGCGGCTAGTTTTATGGGCCGGTTACTATGTATATGTAAGCCGTTGTAAGCTGCAATAGACTTAGAAGATTTTTTACAACCAATAGCTGTGCAATGTTGTGGTATCTTGGAAGTTTAAGTTTAAATACTATCCAGGAAATTTCATGTAAATAATTTTTTTTTCTGTTGCTAAATTTTCCAAAACTCGCAGAGAAAGTCTTCCAGAGCCGCAGATCCTGGATTCGGCTCATGTCACTCTGGGAAAGGGTTTAAGCGAGACCATGTGCGTGACCGTGTCTGTGTGTGTGTGTGTGTGTGTTGTACTGCGTTTACTGTGTCCACTGATGTAATAGGATCCTGTAGCCTGGGAGACATGCTTTTCTCTTTCTGTTTCTACGTAAAGGTGCTTATTTGGTGGAGCGGCTGGAGTGTGTGTTTATTTTGGCCATAATTCTGGTGGTAGATTCAATTATGCTTCAGGAACTTTTATTCCCCAGAGCACACATGCAAAGTTCCTGAAATGCAGCACAGTGTTTTCTAGGTTAAATAATACGAGTACACACACACACACATACACTGCACTGCCCTTTGGCTCCGTTCTAGTCCTAGAATCAGATTAAAAAAATCCCCAAATTCAATTATTGTTTTTGCCTGATCAATTGCAGGACACATAGATCTACACAGATATCTGGAAAGCAAGTGTGTGTCTGTGCGTGTGTGTTATTTTAAACAATACAGCCACGGCTAAACACACAGCGTCTCAAGTCCCTTTTTATTGCATACCAGCAGTTCTCAAAAACAGCTTTGACTGCTAACATATATATATATATATATATATATATATATATATATATTTGCATATTGTACCAAAGACCTGTCCATTTGGAGGACAATCTCATTAATATGACATCATTTTCTGTATTGATAATTTAGAGGTGTTTTAAATTATGCATTGCATTTTGTTGTGTTTTGAGTGAAATGATTTCTGAATATTAAATGCACTATAATTTTAAATGCTCTAATCCCATCCTCATATACTATGTAGACCAGACAGTGTGTGATTCACACTGAGAACTCCTTCCCTGTAGGTTATGGGACTGATAACGCCAGCTGGAGTCACACACCAGAGCCAGGCTGAGTTTTCTCTGGAGTCGTGTGTATCCGTGAACAGCTCGTGCTCTCAGCGCGTCGAGAACCTGCCGACTCTACCTGTCCGCTCCAACCTGCCCAGTCCTCCGTCTTACGGCCCGGCCTCCTTCTACAGCACAGAGCACAGCGCCCCCTACCAGTACAGCCAGTATGGACAAAGTAAGGTCGTTATTACTGTCAGCCTGCTTTATGTTTATGATTTGATTTACAGGTCTTTGCACACATGCTCTAATATCTGGAGGGTGTGTGTCAAATTCTAGTTTGCATCATTTGCTGATCGTATACCTCCGACTTTTCCCTGTATGCACAGTTTATTTTTCAATTAATTAAAAGATGAAGAAAAAAAAAGAAAACTTTGATACTTAAAAAAAAAATGACACCAGTCCCAGCAATTTTACACTGTTCATGACATATACACTTCAAATAATATATACATTAATTATTTTTGATTAATATAAATTATTATTCAGCATATATATATATATATATATATATATCAGCATATATATATATATATATATATATATATATATATATATTAGGGCTGTGCAAAAATTAATTGCGATTAATCGCATCCAAAATAAAAGTCTGTGTTTACATAATATATTTGTGTGTGCTGTATATAATTATTTTGTATAAATTATGTATTTTGTATAAATCCATAATCTATATTATATATATAAATATTTTATATATGAATAACACATTTTCTTAAATATATACTTGCATGTGTGTGTATTTACATATACAAAATAATTATATACAGCACACTCAAATATTATGTAAACACAGACTTTTATTTTTGATGTAATTAATCGCAATTCATTTTTGCACAGCCCTAATATATATATATATATATATAATATTATAAAATTATACATTATTAATTATTAATGTAAAAACATATTTTACATCTCTGTCAAACTCATTCTAATATTTTATACAGCTAAAAAATTATTTACATATTTATATATTATTCTATTTAAATAATTTATCTATGTAATTGAATATATAGGCTAATGTAACATCAATAAATTCATCACCAAGCAAATATATATTTAAATAAATTTCAATAAATTAAATAAATCACTTAAAGGAGAACTCCGGCGCAAAATGAACCTTTGGTCTAATAAAACATCGGTACCTAGTCGACCGTTCTCTGAGATTTGTTTTCATGATAATCGAATGTAAAGAGTTTTATCCCTAAAAACTGTTTAGCGTATACGCTAGTATATGGGGGCATATAATAAATAATATGAAATCGTTAGTTTATACCACTAACAAGGCTCAAAATAGCCCCACACTCACACAGTAACATAATGAGGCTCCCTACATGCAAAACGAAGCATTGAGAACTTTGTAAGTGTACAGACCGTTTAATAAGAAGATAAAGACAGTTCACTTCGTGTATACAGGCAGGAGCCATCTTAGCAAAACAGTCTCGACAAGTCGAACCACGAACGCCGTTCATACAGTTCAGCTCACTTGGCACGTCGTTTGTGGTTCGAACGACGTTTAAAAAATAGATTTCATTAGTCAACTTGCATGTGTATTTCCAGTTTACAGCTGCAAGACACAAAAAACATTGCTAAAGTAATCACTATGTCGATCATAGCGTGATAGTGTCATCATCTGTACACTGAGAATAGCTCCAAAATGTGATCGTCACTCCCAATACTTGCAGTTTGTTCGTGACCTGAGATTTTGAACCTGAACATGTAATAGGAGGTTAAAATTCTTCACGCTCACATCAGATGTTTGGATATAGTTGTGTGTGATTTGCAGAGGTCTGATTCTGTAATATCTGGACTGGGTTTGCGTGTGTGTGAATGTCATGGTTGGATGCTAATCTCCCGTGGCAGTATCATGATGAGAAGCAGCTGCTCTTGTCTAACTCACTATCCCAGTTTACAGTCAGCTCATACAGTTACGCTCTGATGAAAAGGCCGTCGCACAAATACAGCAGCTCTTTAATGAAGAGGAGGGTCAGCGTTTGCCGGCATGATTACTGTGTCCAATGGACGACACATGCTTTCTTTCAGAGTCCGGCACCTGCAATAACTCATGCAAACATTATCACAACAAATATTACTAAAGATCTGTATTACTTTTATATGCATCTTTCAATTTTTAATCCTTTTTTTCTTTTCTTCCAGATTCCTTTCATTATCTGAGGCCTGAAATTGCCTGAACGGGTCGCGCAACTCAACTGTCCCAAAGTCCTGCATTTTAAAAGCCGGAATTAGGATTTGATGAGAGATAAAGACTGAAATACAAATTCTTTGATTTGGCAATATTAATAAAACTGTTATGCCACAGACACACAGCCGGCAGATCAAAAGGGCTTTTTCTGTCTGAAACATTCCCTTGAACTCCTCTTCAAAAGCCCTTCCAGCTGAATTATCCACAATCTCAGAAAACACAACAAGACAAGTTGAATCAAAACTGAAACGGAGACATTTGTGTATGATTTTACTGCAAACATGTTTAAGTGCAATATGAGAAATAGAAATGGCCACATTCATTCGAAACATTCGCAGCCACTGAGGTCTGTGCAACCGGCGGCGTCCAAATCAAGAGCGTGGAACGAGGTCGGCCGTTCTTATGATGCCAGACACGTCGCTCTCTGACCACGTTGTAAATATGTTTTTCCCAACGCATTCCTTGACATTTGAATGATGTTTTCGGGTTTTTTTAGACAAATGATTGGAACATTTTACAGCATTTTGGACCTTATTTGCTTAAAGGGATATTTCACTTTGAAATTCATTTTTGGTATGTTTTAGCTTACCTCAAGGGCATCCAAGATGTAGGTGTCTTTGTTTCCGCAGTAGTTTCAATTTTGATATTTTTAGGTCAAACCGTTCTTGTGTGTCAGTCATATAATGGAGGTCTATGGTCACCACCTCAAAGAGCATGCACAGAGACTCGTAAATGTAAGTACACATTGATGGCCTAAGACACGAAACGAGTGGTTTGTGTGAGAAAACGAACAGCATTTATATCATTTTTACCTCTTGTAAGCACAGCCACGTCCAACTGATCTGAGGGTGCGGACGCTTCGGTCTGCGCAAACGCCGGAAGTGATCTCTCGTGCGGTTGCGAAAAAATTCAACGTTGTCTGTTGATATATCTGTTCGTTTTCTTACACAAACCACTCCTTTTGTGTCTTAATCCATCAATGTGTACTTACATTTACGAGTCATTAAATCATGTTTAATTTGGACTTCTCTGCGCATGCTCTTTGAGGTGGTGACCATAGACCTCCATTATATGACTGATCATCAACGGTTTGACCTAAAAATATCAAAATTGAAACTACTGCGGAAACAAAGACACCTAGATCTTGGATGCCATAGAGGTAAGCTAAAACATATCAAAAATTAATTTCAAAGTGAACCATCCCTTAAAAGTACACTTGCATGCATTTTGTGGAAGAACATTGTTTTGGTTGTGCTTTGGCTCTGTGTGAATACAAAGTTCTGTCATGATACTCTAGATGGCTCTTTTCAAGACCAAACATATCAATTTTGTCATATCCATTACCATTGCAAACACTCCAAGAGTTGTCATGACAGAAATACATTACTCCTGCTGCTCATAAAACATTCACTACTAGACTAAAGAGATATAACCAGTTTATATGAAAGGATCTCAAGCTGACAAGCTGAAAACGTTACTGTAGCTTTACACATTAATAGAAACGCTACTTCTTTGAAAATGAATTCAAGCACACATAATGAAATGAGCCTTTATAATAGATAATGCTTTACAATCAACTACATATGGCAATTTATCTGTTCAATAAAATACCTTACTCACCTGTTGAGTACTAAAACGGCATCTTCGCATACTTTTACAACATTTTAAATCCCTCAGTTCTCACCATCTTAAAACGGCTGATTCTGTTTGAGATTTAGATGCTCAATGTCAACCTGTCTCACTCGTTGTGACAACTAACCTGTGCCACTCACGCACCATACGTGTGTAACTCTATTTATGGATATGATGAGACACAGAGGCTAGTGACGTATACACAATTTCTTACCAAAACCATCCCGTCAGATCTAAAATATAAACACTTGTTGTAACAGGCTTACCATAATGAATCAGGGTAAGACAAAAACACATTTTGGGAGAAGAATTGCAATCGATTCATTCTTTAAATGTTGTTAATTTTGAACATAAAAAGATGCATAGTGTACCTTTTAAAGTGAGTTCGAAATATACTCGATTTATTATACATTTTAAGAATAATTCCTTTGGCGTTGCTGTAATTCGTGGTGTTGGAAAGATGCACTGTGAAAATTACTTTTTTTATTTTTAGAAAATATATTTCTAATGATTTGCTTATCTTTCCCCACAATAATTAAACCCCAACTTGTTGTTTTTCCTTACAAGAAATACAAGAGATGGTAAAAAACTAAAAACGCTCAACAATACTGACAATACAGCCACACAAACTCTGAATGTTTTTTTTTTATTAATTTATTATGTTTTATATATGTATCCTACAGATATTTTGCCTAATTAAATCATTCATTGTATGACAATAAACCCTGTTTGTGTGTGTATGTACTTAGCTATACTTTGAAGACACAACTGCAGACATTACCTCCTTTTGGTGCATTTATGGATATTGTCAATTGCAAAATAGATTCATAAAGAGCTAATATGGCTTTTATTAAGGATTCAATTAGTCTATAGTCATTATAATTCACTCAAAATGTCATTATAAAAACATCATCTCTCACACATCTGTCTCATAGCTGATGTTTCACACTTTCCAGGATGATTCATGTCTCTGCTCTTCCTCATCTGATCAAACGCTTCACCTGTGAACACTGAAAACACCTCAAGAATAACAGACAGTGAGACAGATGCTGTTTTATGACAAACTCATGCATCTTTCTTCCTTTCATTGGCTCTCTCAGAAGCTTCTTTTGACCCGCAGTCTTCCTCTGTAAATGCCAACCTTCAAACAGAGTCCTTTCCTTCACCCTGCTTCATCATCTGAGAGGTCAAAGGGTAAAGTTCATAGGTCTGGCACATGTTCATCACAGAGAGAGAGAGGATGAGCTCAAGCTGATGAAAATAAAACTACAGTCTGATCTGTTTTTCATCTGATCCTCAAACATGTCTTGACTTCATTACACTCTCATAGCAGGGAAACTATAACGTTGTAATGATACCGACGGCATCGTCGACGACACCACACGGCACCTCCGATAAATATTTATATTATTCGATGACAGATTTATCGATTTTCTTTCCGTTTTTTTTTTTTTTTTTTTTTTTCAGCAGAAAGCTAAGCTAGCCGTCACGGGGGCGTTTTCCTAATTAAATTACTAGATTCCACTGGTGAAGTGATTTCACCGAGTTCCACATGTATGTTCCTGGATCAACTTTCCAATCAACCAATCAGATTTTAGGGACAAGTTTACAGTTTATGTCAAGTTTAGGCTTAGAACAAGTTAAAACCAGACCATTCCCAATTTGCCTGAAGTTGTCTGGGTTTTTCCAGGCTAGGGTGAAGTACATCAGGGTTTATTCATCTTTCATTAGGCCTACCCTCTGATTTTAGGGAAAAGTTATGGGTAGGGTTAGGTTTAGGGGTAGGGATTGGGTAAGGACTACATTTTGGGACAAAATATGTTGATCCAGGATCATGTACTTGTCAAATTCACGGTGACTGGATTCACCTCGCGAAAAGACTTTAAAAATTAGAACCACAGAAAATTTAGACCACTCATTAGAACTCATTTTTAGTTTAAAGGTGTAAGAAGCAGACCGTCTTAAACTGAGTAAGTGAATATTTATGATTGCTTCAGAATCAGTAAATGCTACGGGATCGTGATGCCTGCAGGCCACAGATTCCAGCTGTCATAGAATCAGAGTAACATATTGCTTCAAATTTCAAAGAAATTGGCAAATATGCTTAAACCGTTGAGACATTTATTAAAATATATAATATTATTTTTATCATAGTTGAGCCATACAAACAAAAAAAAAGGTCAATGGAATTATTCTGGGAAAATCAGTGATTAAGGCATGCAGTTTTCGTAGTAATTTTGTGGTCTTTTTTTGTTTTGTTTTGTTTTTTTAAGAAGAAGGCTGGTCCAGACTCAGAATAAATCCCATCCCCGTTTCTCCTTCACTCTTATCACTCCTCCTTCTTTGAAGACTTACAGATCGTCTCTGGGCTTTAAGATTTGAAACAACAAACATGGTCAGTCACATTCAAGATTTAACAATTATTATTAAGATGTGGTGTCATACAGGTCTTTTGAATGGACTTATTTTCTATTATAATGATAATGCACTTGATATTTATCCATTCAATTAGTTTTTCTCTGTGTGTGTGTGTGCTGTTTTGTGACTTTAGAAGTTCACTGTGTTTCTGAGTGGACTCCTGCTGCTCTTTCTGCTTCCCGACTGGACAGAAAGTGTTGACACTGTGGACATCAATACTCTCGCCCGTATTATTAACTTCTTTGAGCAGAAGTAAGTCTCCAATCTATGAAAAAGTAAAAGTTTAAGCTAAGTTAAGCAATGAGTAAGTAGAGCAAAAAAGAGGAAGTAGAAGCACTCAGTAAAGCGGCCATGCATTGAAAACATGGGTGTGTGTCATTAGTCAAAACTTGATCTTGTTTACTGTTTTACAGATATAAGAGAGTCGATATAGATGGACATGCCCGTCAGTACGCCACCGCCATCAATGTGCCAAAGGATCAGTGTCAACAGAACTTCAATCTGAACACCTTCCTGACTCAGGAGAATGCTGCGAATGTGAAAAATGCCATTACTGATGAAACAAACGCACTTTACCAGGGTTCAGAGCTCATCGCTGCAGGAACTAGGAAAGTTGTAATTAGTAAAAAAAAGCAATACAACATGCATTCAGAGTCTCTCCTGCTGAATCCTGTCGACAACTCACCCATGAGCAAACTTTTGAATAAAAGAAAAGACGGCTGCTCTGTTTTCTACACCTTTGAATCTCCCTGTGTCGACACGTGTCTGAATCCGTCAAGCAGTCACAACATTATAAATGCTCTGGAGAAATGGAAAGAACACGATGGAATTAAAGCTTTCGTCTTCAAGGGTTTCTGGAAGTTTGACATTGAAAAAGATCTTCAGACTGCGTTTAAGAAGATTGCGGCTCATGTTCCTCTCTTCCGCTGTGTGAGTGAGAATGAGTGTTATGCTTGTAAAGGGGAAGGAAACACTCCCATAGATGCACGCTGTCTGCCTTAAAGAGAGATCTAACTGCAGTAACGTTCACCTCTTATGCAATTCTGTATTAGTGAGATCAACTATCCTTTGTTTTGATAATCAGTATGCTTAGATGTAGTAGTAAAATGCATTTCGAAAATAATCTTGCTTGCAACTTGAACTAATAAAATACTTCTGCCTGGCAAACTTTGTGTTTGTGTTGTTTTTTTCAAGAGGATGTGGGTTATAAAAAGTCAAAAGGGAGTTATGATGCAAAAGTTGGTTTATTGTGCACGGTAGATGTATGGGTGTTTGTAGCTATTTATCTGATAACTCGGGTGCCTTGGTAACAGTACTATCAAGAATTAAAACAATAAGCTTTATGCAGCTGTTGGGATGAACGAAGACAGACAGGGTGCCGACATCAGGCCTCAGAGATGAGTTTAATTTAAACAAACAAAACAGAAGGATCTAGGTTAACAAACTGGAAAATGAGGCGAAGTGCAGTACATAAAATAAATATAGACTATATGAGAAAAAGCAGATACACAAATTGATGATGATCGCAACAGCATTCAGTGATGTTATAGTTTTACACTGTAATGAATGACTGTATGGACTGGCAGAAAACTGCCATGCAGATCCTATATGGACCAAACTGAATCCAGTGTTACCGGATCTCTCCATGTCATGAGCAAACTTTGACCTAACAGACAGCTCTCCTCAGATAGGAAAATCACTGGCCACCTTATTAGGTATACCTTGCTAGTAAAGGGTTGGACAACCTTCAGAACTGCCTTAATTCTTTGCATCATAGATTTAATGCTGGAAACATTCCTCAGAGTGTTTGGTCCATACTGACACAATAGCAAGCACGCAGATTTGTTGGCTGCACATCCAGTCATGCCACTCGACCGTCATCTTGGCGATGCTTCTGGCCGGGCAGCTAATAAGACCGGGCTCCTATCTAAATGAATGGGCAGAGAGTCAAAACTTTCACTGGTCACCGGGACATAAACGGCATAGAAACAGCAGTAAAATATGATTTAAAAAATCTGTCAATTAAGCACGGTCAAAATAAATACCCAATTTATACAACTTACTTTCCTGTTATCCAGACCCCACGATGGCCTACCCCTAACCCCGCCCCTAAACCTACCCGGCAAGACCAATCAGGGACGATGGCCTATACCCCTAACCCCACCCCTAAACCTACCCGTCACTGGGGTTAAGACCAATCAGTGATGACTATAGACCATTTCACAAGATGTAAACAACACTGGTCCAGAAGCACTTCCTGTTTCAGTTTGTAACTGTTTTCTTTATTTCACATGTAAAGAAAACATCTTAAAGATATTTGTTTAACTTTTTGATTCAGTTTTATATGTTCTGTTGGTTGTATTTTATCCCAGCTTTTATGTAGTGTTAAAAAACTGAAACAGGAAGTGCTTCTGGACCAGTGTTGTTTACATCTTGTGAAATGGCAGTTCCGAAATGGTATATGGTGGGGTCCGGATAACAGGATAGTACCAGAGCCCGTCTAACGGAGAGCTTTTGGCACTTCCTATTAGCCCCATTGTGTATCATCTTGGTTGCAGTTCCATTAGAATTCCACTGGAGGTGATCGCGGGCGAGCGCAGAATGAATGGGAGTCTATGGGGCTAAACGGATAAATGTGTCTCTTTCACCTGCTATTCGTTAAATCAACATAGATTTTATTGTTGATTCCGCAAGTTCAATATAGATAATAGGCCAAAAGTCGAATGAACGAGTACTTATGTCCTTTTGATTTCTTACAGGTTAGGCCGTTGTTGGCCGGGACACGCTAGCATTCTGCTATTGTGTGACGTCATCACAGTTTTGAACGGATTTTTAGAACAGATAAGTGAACTTAAAAATGCAATTTTCAGCTGAGTGTATTATCTTAGCCCTCCCTTTTGAATGCAACTTTCAAATTACTTGACAAAAAATTACATCCTGAGAAAAGTGGATTTCATTGACTCCTATTCTGCACTCGACCGCGAGCGCCCCTGCATGGACAGAGACGTGTTACTGCAGCCAGTCCATGAACTCGGAAGTAACCAGAAAGTGCCAGTTCTCTTCATTCTCTTAGTACCAACTGGTCTGCATCTTCATTTAAGTTGTTCCACACAAATTAGGTATTTAAACTATTCATAGATGCCACCTACGTCACTACAAATAAATATCAGTCAAATAAAAGACTGCCATATCTGTCCTAAAGAACAGATGTTCAGTTACAGAGAAGGTTTAATAATCAAATATCGAAATGAAAGAGTCTTTCGAGTCGAATCTTTTTGAACGATTTGTCTGCGATTAAAAGCTATCAACGCTCTTCAGTGATTGTATTATTATTATTATTATTATTATTATTATTATTTAGGAATAATTATGTTTCTTTTCTCCTGCAGAGGTCCATGGATCACCTTTTGCCATGCGTCAACTTATCCACATCTTTTTATCCCTCTTTCACACATGCATCGATTGTGAGTCACATCTTAAAATAAATAATGTTGTAAAACAAGAACTGGAATATCCTGAGCCATCTGGGCTAATCAAGGACCTTTCTCGAAATTAACATTTGACCTCTCAACCATTGTATGAATGTTTGTTAAACTGTTTGACATTCAACGATAATTCAGTTCATATCACAGTTTAGTTGACAAAAAACAAACAAAATGAAACAGCTCTACGGAAGATCATTCAATTAAAATCAGTTATTGTCCAGTAGCCTCAGTTTTGCGCTCATCCACTGTCAATGTAGTCAAATCGATAATATTTCTGAAAGCCCAATTCACTTTAAAGCCACAACTGACCAAGATAAAGGACTTATTTGTAAAAAATAATACATCGGGAATGCTTAAATATTTCATACAGACAGATAAATGCTCAATTCAGCTCAATTAAAACTGAAGCAACAGAATTTGTTTAAAATTTTGTGCAACAGCATTTTTTTTTTTTTTACCTGAAAGAATATGTGTTAGTTTAGAGATCATTTTGCATTGAACCTTATTTAATCAAACTTGCCTATCTGACTGGCTCAACCCCTCTCTGCTTATCATGTTATTGCTCTCTGTCCAGAGTCCAGACTGAGCGTTTGGGAAACAAATGTCCCTTCCTTGTGCGACAAGCAACAAAACCACATGCAACCGTTTTCACGGTGGATCATTTTGAGTAGACTCATTTCTCTGTGTGGTTTACTCTCTATGACATAACTGCTACCTCTTACATATTTTGTTATAAATGAATCTCTCGCCACAGAAAATGTTTGGCTGCATTGCCTGTCATACTAAAATGTAAGATATCCACTGTAAACCTCATGCTGTTGCTCTGAAGTAAAACAGAAATTATGTTTCAGAACAATTATGACAAAAAGTTCATTCATGGTTAAACTATTCCTTGTTCCTGATGACTATACTGATAATCTGATCTGTTCAAGTGAATGTTGTACTAATGTTTATGTGTTAAATGTTTATACACCATTAACTTATTTAGTGTGATAATCACTCATGACTGAATTCTTGACTTAAAGTTGTTTATAAGGGCTGTGAATATCTATCAACTTAGTAATTTTATTTGTCACAGAACTCTGAATAAATCTCAATACTTTTATATAATAAAACAGACACATCTACAACCATTTCAAATTATTGCATTTAAGAAACTTTAATTTGACTTTGCAGGACATAAAATGCATCTTTTTGTTTTGCTGCTCTGTTGTCATTCAGAGGCGCATAACACAAATAGCCTAATGCAAAAAATGTTTGTAATTGCTACACAATTAACAGAAAATGAAAAGAGCTTAAAATTATCTAAAATGTAACACTTAATAAATGTCTCATCAACTTCTCATCTCCCATGTCAGATCGTTTGTGGTTTCCCCGGTGTGTGTTCCAGTGTCGTTCGAGTCTTGTGCTTTTCCGGTTCTTGTTCTGTGGATTTATCCGGATATCTGTTCACCACACCACTGCACGCTGTTCATCTGACCATCGGAGTCCCTGCGCCACTAACCTGCCTGTCTGAGTTGGACCGCCTATCTGTGTCATCATTTAATAAAGAGTTTAACTTGCACTTGCTTCCGTCTACTATCATGACAATTATTGAGCAAATATTTATTTTCCATCATCCAAGCATATATAAATCATTTCAAGACAGATGCCATCTAAATACAGCATAAGCACATTGATTTTCAGGAAGTCTACTAAACATTTTTTACACTATAAAAACTTTAGTTCAGCTCAGACACTACCAGAACCTAAATGAGCTGCATTTAATATTTAGTACAGTAATTAATTAAATGTATGAGAACTTGTTCGTTATACTTGATGGGGACATCAGACTCATTCCCTGATAAGCTTGTCCATCACTGGTGTTAACATTGTTTTTCTATAATAACGCTATTATTCACAAAGCGATAGAGGGGAACACAAGAGTTGATAATCTCTGTACAGTTTTGTACAAGACTAGAGCATTTATGGTCAATTTCATTTTTGAAGACAAAGGCTTTAATTCCACTGTGATTCTTCAAGGTTTCAAAGGCTGGTTTAATGTTATTACTGCCTGTCATATTTTGACAGGAAGAATAAGCTGTGTAGATGACAACGCAGCTGTCATTTCTACGTTTTAACAGTTGTGAAAATGATGCGTTTACTTGGAGCAGGTAATTCACTGGTTCAATTTCGACATTTTTTGTGCAATTTATTTTTTGTCCTGCAGCTATGATGAGGTCTGAAACTGAGTCATTATTGAAAAATTTATTATTCTTAATATAAATGTCATTTCGCACAAGTGTTGCGTTCTCCTTAGTTGGTAAGTTCCCAGGATCAAATTTCCCTTGACATTGATTCCTCGGTACATTGATGGCCACAGCAAACGGCTTGGTTTTAATTGAATAGCTGTAAAACATTGAATGAAGCCATTTAAAAAGAGTTTCATGCATGATGTCCGGCAGCCGAAACAGGAATGACATTTAATTCATTAACTTACTCTTTGTTATTCATCATAAAATAAAATAATATTTTAAACCTTTATTTTACTCACTTCTTATCAAAGAACTCAATTATTTCGCCAAGAGTTGTAAGGTTCATTTGCTGTTCCTTCACACTTTCTGTCCAATGAAGAAGCAGAAAGTGCAGCAGGAGTCCACTCAGAAACACAATGAACTTCTAAAGAGATAACACACACATATA